GTCAGCTCTATAGGAAGCTCCCATAGACCCTATGATTCCCTTGTGGGACCAAAATGATATGAGGGTTTAGGGGTTTAGGGTTTAGGGGTTTAGGGTTTAGGGGTTTAGGGATTTCTATAATTCGCTACGAAGATTAAAAATGTAGATGAGTGGTTTATAGGGTTGAAGCCCACCCTGGTTCGTCAACAGTCCTTATCATCTACCTGTCACTGCTAGGATATTCGCAGCCCCAAGAAACCGCGGCCCTTGCGCCAAAGTCTGACCTGCATCTGCTATCTTAAGCCCTAAGCCCCCACAATTTCATTCCCAGGCCCTCAAGCTAAAACCCTGCATCCTGCACCTGACTAGAACCTGTTTTTCCAAACCCTAAACCCTGAATCCCATAAATCCTAAAGCCTAAACCCCTGCACCCTAAAACAACCCATGCTAACTCTGTTCCAGGCACCCCCAGATAGGCCCCGTGACCGCACAAGCCACTCCCTGAAGTCGATGCCGCAAAGGAGAGTTTGGGGGGCTTGGGGGACTTCAGGGACAAGACTTAGGGTTTAGGGTTTAGGGACAAGACTTAGGGTTTATGCTCTAGGGCTTAGGATTTAGAGGGTTTGGAGGTTTAGAGTCGAGGGTTTGGAGGTTTAGAGGGTTTGGAGGTGTTGGGTTTTGGCGGTTGGGGTTCAAGGCTTTTCGTCTCGGTGTTGGTTGAGGGCTTTGCCACTTGCATTTCCTCGCGAGGCAAGAACTCCAGAAAATGCGCAAGGAGTGCGTTAAATACAAACGCAAATAGTTGAGGGTTCAGGAGTCCGTGAAACCTACTCTGAGCTTGAGTAGCCTCAACCTGACTACTTGTTGGTGAAACCTTCAATTTTGCCCCCATCCTACAATAGTCTCGAAAACTTGTGACGGAAACTCCGCGATACCCTTAATCAGGGTCGTAAATAGATAGGATTGTTTTGGGGGGGACTCTTGATGGGGACCCTGTAGGTTCCGGGGGATAACATGGGCACTAACTGGCTATGTAGCACATATATGAGCACACTATAGAAAGATAATGTGCTTAGGGGCTCTTTGTGGGGGCTAATTACCTGGCTACGCAGGGATCTATGAGTAGTCTAGAAGTCTATAAACTCTACACCCCAAGAGTAGTCTAGAAGTCTATAAACTCTACACCCCAAGAGTAGTCTAGAAGTCTATAAACCCTACACCCCAAACGCTAAGGGGTGGTTTAAAGTAATGGGATTAGGGTTCCCTCCGATGAGCCGCTGCGTTCCACGCTGCGGGAGAAAGGCAGTCCCAAACCTAGGTGAAATTTGAAAAGATTGCGCACCTTTACGATACCTAAAGTCCCAAGAAGGAAAATTAACTAAACTTGCTAATCAATTCTGTCCCAATGTGGGATCGGAAGCCCCCCCCTAGATGTAAATCCTAAAGCTGAAAACCTACACCCTTACACCCTTGAGCAGACCCCTAAACCTTAACTCTTAAACTTTAAAATCGCTAAACCCTCAAAACTCAAACTCTTGAACCCCTAAACCCGAACTACTGCGCCTGGCACAAGGCCATCAAGCCTAAGAGATTGGGCCGTAGGTGCAGCTCGTGCTCCATGGCCCGGAACCTGAGTTCAGATTAGGGCTATAGGGGTTAGAGGGTTTAGGGGTCTACCGTTTAGGGTTATAAGGTTTAGCGTTATAGGGTTTGGGGTTATAGGGTTTAGGATTATGAGGTTTAGGGTTTAGCGAATAGAGGGCCAGATGGGAATGCATAGGGATATATCGGCTTGCCTAGGGATACATAAGGATGTATTGGTTATAAAGGGTTATGTAGGAAGTGACGCTTGAATATTTGGTTTTGAGTTTGTGGTGAATGGAGAATCATGTGGAAAACAGAACGGAAAATGAAATCGAAGATTGGATAAGTAGGTGGTTGAATCAAGTAATCACGTCCCTGAACCCTAAACCCTGAACCCGAGACCCCAAGAACGTGCGAAGCTCAAAGATGCTGGTAGGGATAGGTATGGTTGTCATGCGGCTCAGGGGATTATCTGGAATAGGGTTTAGGGTTTAGGGTTCAGGGTTTAGGGTTTAGGGTTCAGGGTTCAGGGTTTAGGCTTTAGGCTAGGGGCCCTATTCTTATGGCTTCATAGGGTTTTGCAAGTATAGGGGATTATATACCTGGAATGTAATTTAGGGGCCCTATTCTTATGGCTTCATAGGGGAATAAGCAAGTAGTATGGTCCAGAATCATTGAAAACTAATGATTCGCAGGCTTCCAAGTTATGATTGGGCTTACTGAGACTAAGTCCCCCTAGGGGGTTTATGAGGCTCCTAATTAGGGATTCTGTAGTGAAAGGGATTATTCTCAGGAATACCCCCTAAACCATAAAGCCTCCAAGTAATGTGCCGTTTCTGGCGCAACTTCATCTTCCCCAGTGAGTATGAACCCCGCAATACGAGGATGCGCCACAGAAAGATCAGATAAAAAGAGATAAGAGTTTGGCGCATGCTCATTGCAGAGTTTCTTGAATGTATCCTCTATATAGGATACGTAACAGGGCTACCCATCATTCCCTTGTAAGAGCAAAAATTTCAAGACACCCTTAGCCCCAACCCCTGGTACAGCCCTACAACCCTTTTGACCATCTGGACTTCAAACCATTAATGGATTTGGGTCCGTCCTACTATGCTTTCGCGACGAGGCTTTACGTAGCGTGTAGAGGGGAGTGTCTAGTATAGGGAAAACACCCATGTCTGATGCGAAAAATGGGTCCCCACATGCCAATTGGGGAAGGGGAGGGCAGCAGGGTTTGTCCTTTGATCGCTGAAGGCCTGTGGCAGTCGTTGGTGGGGTTGGTTTCCATGGCTAATTTTGAGCTCCAAACCTGACCCGGATGTCAATACAGGAGTCCCCAAACCCTGAGTGCGTCCCGCCATGCAGTAATACACCTTGTAGTCTTGTAGGCCTATTATGCAAGACTAGTCTTATCTACAACCGTAATTTCTGGAGGACTATAAAACATCGCCTGGTCATAGCTTGGGTTTTTCCCCGCGTAGCACCTAAGTCCCAGCGGCGAGGAGGGCAATAATTGCAAATCTGCCTCAGCTGATGCTTCCCCAGCGTACGCTTGGCTATAGAGGTCTTCGGGCACTTAGCGTCTTAGGGCGCAGGGGAAAGAAAAAAGAAAGCATATGAGCTCAGCCTCAATGCTTGAAGCCTAAGCCCAAAACCTCACAAGCTAAAACGATCTCAAGTTCCTCTAACCTCACCGTCCAAAAACCCACCACCTCCACCCCTCCCCCCCTTTTCTCACCTCCGAATGGGGAAAACAGAGAAAAACACACTCTAAACCCAAAACCCTACACACTAAACCCCGAAGCCCCTAAACCCAAACACCCTAAACGCTAAACCCTAAACCTGAAATCCTAAACCCAAGCCCCTATAACCTTACATAGCCCTTTATAGCCCTATATAACCCTGTTTAAGCCTATATAACCCAGTAATAACCCATTAGAACCCCATAATCCCAATTTCAATATAACTCCTAGATCCTAAGCCTTAGACCCTAAATCCTAAACCCTAAATCCTAAACCCTAAACCCTAAATCCTAAACCCTAAACCCTAAACCCTAAACCCTAAAACCCTAAAACCCCAAGGGAGCCAAGGTTACACCTTTCAGCGCCGACAGAAGGATCAGGGCCGCCAGTGTCTGATCACTGGAGAAGAGCCTTGGACTGGGGTTCTATTAGGGTTTACGGTTTAGGCTTGAAGGTTTAGGGATATATTTTCTCAACCACATGGAAAAGAACATAGAACATTTAATGGAAGCTGGGGTCATGTAGCTGTTGGGGTTTCCAAAGTACCTATTTGTTAATCCAGTCTGCCTGATAATCACCCCCATCCCCTAACAATAACTGCTCCGCCAGTAATAAATACTCCCCAGTTATGTGATGGTACCATATTGGGAATAGGTCGGGGGGGAGGGGATGATTAGGGGGAGAACGTGGAAAAAACACAAAATGGAAACTACTTCCCTGCCCACATCCGCAGAAGAAGGCAGCTTTCGATGAGACTATCTGGCAGCCTAGAATTTGAAATCTACTATGACTCTTATTACGGCTTTACTATACACTTTCTATTATACCACCAAAAATACAGCGCCCCCATACCTTACGCGTTCTGAAAAGGCAATAAGCGAATCTAGTATACAAGAATTATATTCCTTATTCCTTACTAAGAACCCATAAGATACATGTTTTCAAGGGGAATCTCAATATCCGCCCCAAAGCGCATGTACATCCCTAGGGTCTCAGAATTACCCGGGAGGTGCTTCTTACATCCTAAGCCCCAAGCACTTTTATTCGCCAAGTAGGCCTGTATACCCCTATACAATCCCTGAAAAGTGTGCAGCTCTTAAACTAGGTTCCCCAGTAACCCCTTAAGAATAAGGGTATAATACTCAGACCCCCCAAATAAAAAGGGGAAAAAGGGTACTACTGGGATACCTAGTAAACCCCAAACTCTTAGTTGCCCTTCCCTGCCAAGTTGCCGCGCCCTCCGAGGCAGCCCATCCTGCTGCATTCCTGGGCCTCAAAGCAGACTTGACCCTTGTTGGTGCTCTGGCTATGTGAGGGTTATACTTTGAAAGGGTATGCAATCGAACATCAAACAAAAAAAACAATGTTGACTGCATCCAGATTGCTTCGAAAGGTGGGTTCTAGAAACTTGAAGCTCAGAATTCGCACTCCGAAGCATGTGTTCTTCCTGGATTGCATGGAACTGTGCTGCTGTTGCGCATCTGGCAACTGAATTATGCACTGCCTGAGCTGGCTGAAGTCAACACCAGCATAGGCATAGGCATCTTGCAGAGTATTTGAAGCTCAAAAGCTGTACAGAATAAACCTCAAAAATCAGCTTCACTTAACTACATCTCTCCGAGACGTTCGAGAGGCCAGCCTTCTCCAGGCCAGCCAAGGAATCTTTACAAAGGAAAGCTGACTCTGACTTATAACTTATAACTCGCACCCGGTGCAGCCTGAGGAGTATTGCCAGGATGAGGCCGGCATGTACTGACCTTTGCCAGGCTTGAGAGATTCGATGTGAAATGTTGTAAGGGTTTTGGGGGCATCCCGAATGTCTACATCCTGCTACACAAGACGAAGCCAGCATCTTTCGAATCAGGACAAGTGGCACCAGCTGGCACAACCACTAGGCGTGGATGGACCACTGGGTGTGGCCGGACCCGTTGGCGGAGCTCCACTTCCACCAGAGCAGCCCGTGCATGCCTGAGCCACGACTTTTACGTGGAGGTTGCTTGTACAATGCCTTGTCGGGTCTCTAATGTACGGGCGCCTTGGGTACCTATGCGCTCCTGTATTAAATCATGAAACCGCTCCCTACGAAAACGACTGTTGCTGACTCCAAACATCTCCAAACCATCTCAAACTTCAGACCAGATGCTGGAGTGTACTGCCAGGACGAGCCAGGCATGTAGCCGCACCAGCTGGCGCATCCTGCTCCGACTGCTGGGCTGGAGGGTGTGCCTGGCTGTGTCTCCTCCGTTCCTTCAGATCCCGAGCAGTTACGGCAGTCTGGTGTGAATTGCCAAGAGCTGTAGGGGACCCACTGGCACCAATTCACACAGTACTTACTCGTTGTTGCAGAGCTGTTGGTCCAGTTGGCTGGTGCTCGCACGGAGCAGTTGCCGCAGTCAGGAGTGTACTCCCAGGACGGCTGTGGAACCCACTGGCACCAGTTCACACAGCTGGTATTGCGGCCACTGGCACTGGGAGGGAGTGTTGTTCCATTGGGTACCGCTGTCTGGCCGGAGCAATCATGGCAGTTAGGGGTATAATGCCATGAAGCTGTGGGAACCCACTGGCACCAATCCACGCAAGTTCCGTTGCTTGAGTTGATTGGAGATGCAGGCCTCACTAGCAAAGGGGAGGTTACGTTTCCAGAGCACCTGCGGCATTCCGGAGTCGATTCCCAGGAGGGGCGGGGCACCCACTTGCAATGGCTTGCACAGCTGTGGCTGGGTGAGTCGGGGCCAACTGGCAGTGGCGCTGAAGGCTTAAGTCCAGAGCAGCCGCGGCAGTCAGGAGTTACCTCCCAAGAGGGCGTAGGCACCCACTTGCACCAGCCCACACAAGTTCCATTCCCAGCAGGAACCTCTGGCAGCGGTGTTGTGGTGTTGCAAGCTCGGCATTCCGGAGTGTGCTGCCAAGACGGAGTGGGAACCCACTGGCACCAGTTCACACAGCTACCGTTTCCAGCGGGCGCTGTCGGGCCCATGACAGGGCCTCCAGATCCTGGAGAGCAAGTGCGGCAAGCTGGGGTGTACTGCCAGGAGCTGCCCGGCACCCACTGGCACCAACTCGCGCAACTCGCGCCCGGAAGATTTGTGGTCCCAGGGCCAGTTGCAGGACCCTGTCCGGAGCAGCCATGGCATTCAGAAGTGTACTGCCAAGATGAGCTCGGTACGTAAGAGCACCAGTCCACGCATTGTGCTGTAGGACTCAGGGGAGCCACCGGCGTAGGTGTCGCAGGCCCTGTGCCTGCTCCACCACAGCTTCGGCAGTCCGGAGTGTACTGCCAGGATCCCTGCGGTACCCACTGGCACCAGCTCGAACAGCCCTGCCCTGCCCTGGAGAACTGCGGGACCTGATTCCCACCGCAATCCCTCACATATCGCTGGCTTCCCAGCGGGACGTAGCGGCACCAGATGGGCGCTTGCAGCTGCGCCTTGACCTTGAGCCGTGAGCTCGGCATCTCTGGCTGTCGCTCGGCAGCTGCCTCGGCACCGGCCGCAGCTGCGATTGCAGCGCCTGAATTGCAAATGCCGCAGTCAGGTACCTCCTTCCATGCCGGCTTTGGCACCCATGGGCACCAGGTGGCACAGCCCTTTGTGGTCTGCACCTGAGTCACGTTTGTGCCGTTGCAGCCGGGCACGTACGACAGGGCCTTCAACGGGACCCAGGCACACCAGTCCGAAGTTGCTACATCGGGGACTGCTGTGGCAGCCGTCACCAAGAGCACGCACGCTGCACGGAAAGCCATCGCCTTCCGCGGAAAGCGTCTCTAACAAAAGCTGTGCAGGGTTACTTGAACCTTTAAGGCTTCCCAATTCCTGCCAGATCATGGCCATGTTTGCTCCTGTAAATTCAAACAGATCTTGCGCATGCATATGCAAACCTGCGCTGGATTGATGTGCAACAACTGATCATTCAGAGCTTGCTATTGGCTACCTCAACAGCCATAGAGGGGTCCAAGGCGTGTTGCTTAGGATGGGACCCGAATCTAGAGGCTCTGAACTACCCAAAGCTTTCTGTTGGTTACTTCCATCCGGCAAGAGCAATCCTCAGGACCCCATTTACTATTTTGAGGGACTCTGTAGCAAGGTCACACAACATGCCCACTACTCAAGACTAGCCCTGCATAGGTCCCTAGTCCGTTGGAGGTCCCTAAACCCTAAACCCGGAGCCCTAAACTTACTGGCAATCAGTAGATAGTAGCGGGATGGATCCCAAGTATAGCATCCTCTGTAGTAGTCTCTATAACCGATGCCTTCATTCCCTACTGATGACCAGTAAGTGAAGCTAAACCGCGTGGCCCCTATAGGTGCATGCAAGCATAAGGGCACGCGAGTTCCGCACAATGGCAGCTACATGAAATTCCCCTCCTGTAAACATGAGCCTCCCCATCCTATGTAACAATAAATGTTCCCCTGTTATACCATGGGGGCGGGTCCTCAAGGGTACCCTTATCATCTGTATAGAATCCTCAAAATAACTTCGGGCCGCCTTTGAGAAGCGCTTACAACAAACCCTCAGGTTACTGAAGTTGACACGACTGGCGGTCCTTTGTTGAAAGTGCCTACAAAATAGATTATGACAACTGGGGTCTACATTGGACTAACCATTTTGGAAACTCGCACGCACTCTTCCAAGAATGCAGGAACTTGGCCAAATTACAGGCCAATTATCTCCACCAAAATACGAGGATGCGCGCATATGATTTCGAAGTGGGCTCATAAATCAATGAACCTCAGAAACCCTAGTATATTTGGCAAAACCCCTGGGACCCTTAACTGGCAAACATGCAACGCGGGCCTGCTGTTGATGCTGGTAATTCTACATGACCCGGGCTACCTACTCACTGGGAATGATGGGCATACTGAGGTTCATTTAAAGACTTTTTTAATATCAACAGCGATGGAGTTCACTCAAGTTGGACTTCGCACTCAGAATCTCACTTTGTTTTGGATTGGTTTGAACTGTGCCGCCGTTGCTCATCTGGCAACAGAATTATGCACTGGCTGTAGAGCCAGCACAAGCAATACGCATCATGCAGAGTATTCGCAACATTTTCGAGACTGAACAACTGTACAAAACGAATCTCATTAATGTGCTTGACCTGACGTCTTTCCGAGACGTTCAAGAGGCCGGCCTTCTACAGGTCGGCCGAGGAATCTTTACAATGGAAAATGAAAACTAACTTAGGTGGACCCCCCACCCAGTAATAGTGACTATAAGGGATAATAGGGATCATGTTAGGGTCCTCTTATATTCTTATTATGCCACTATTACAGGGTGGGGGGTCCTCCTAAAAACTAACTTATAACTTATAACTCACACCCGGTGCAGCCTGAGGAGTATTGCCATGATGAGGCCGGCATGTACTGACCTGAGGCAGGCTTGAAAGGCTTGATGAGAGAATGTTGCGAAAGTTCAGGGCATCACGAGTTTGTACACGGCTTAACAAGCGCCTTTCGAATCAGGACAAGTGGCACCAGCTGGCACAACCACCAGGTGCGGATGGACCACTGGGTGTGGACGGACCCGTTGGCGGAGCTCCACTTCCACCAGAGCAGCCCGTGCATGCCTGAGCCACGACTTTTACATGGAGGTTGCGGGTACAATGCCTTGTCGGGTCTCAAATGTAGGGGCGCCTTCAGGTACCTATGCGCTCCTGCATGAAATTATGAAGCCGCTGCCTATGCAACCATCTCATATTTCAGCCCAGACGCTGGAGTGTACTGCCAGGACGAGCCAGGCATGTAGCCGCACCAGCTGGCGCATCCTGCTCCGACTGCTGGGCTGGAGGGTGTGCCTGGCTCTGCCAGCTCTGTCCCATCAGGTCTGGAGCAGCCACGGCAGTCTGGAGTAACTTGCCAGGAGCTGTAGGGTACCCATTGGCACCAGTTTACACAGTGCTGACTCGTTGTTGCAGAGCTGTTGGTCCAGTTGGATGGAGCTCTCACAGAGCAGCCGCCACAGTCAGGAGTGTACTCCCAGGACGGCTGTGGAACCCACTGGCACCAGTTCACACAGCCGGTGCTGCTTCCGCTTGGAGGCAGTGCTGGTCCATCGGGTGCTGGCGTCTGCCCAGAGCAGTCGCGGCAGTTGGGGGTGTAGTGCCATGAAGCAGTGGGAACCCATTGACACCAGTCCACACAAGTTCCATTGCTTGCGTTGATTGGAGATGCAGGCCTCACTAGCACGGGGGATGTTACGTTTCCAGAACAGCTGCGGCACTCTGGAGTCGACTGCCAGGAGGGGCGGGGCACCCACTTGCAATGGCTTGCACAGCTGTGGCTTGGCGAGTCAGGTCCTGCTGGCTGTGGGGTGGAAGGCTTAAGTCCAGAGCAGCCGCGGCAGTCAGGAGTTACCTCCCAAGAGGGCGTAGGCACCCACTTGCACCAGCCCACACAACTTCCACTCCCGGCAGGAACCTCTGGCAGCGGTGTTGTGGTGTTGCAAGCTCGGCAATCTGGAGTGTGCTGCCAAGACGGAGTGGGAACCCACTGGCACCAGTTCACACAGCTACCGTTTCCAGCGGGCGTTGTCGGGCCCACGACAGGCCCTCCCGATCCTGGAGAGCAAGTGCGGCAAGCTGGGGTGTACTGCCAGGAGCTGCCCGGCACCCACTGGCACCAACTCGCGCAACTCGTGCCCGGAAGATTTGTGTTGCCAGAGCCGGTTGCAGGACCCTGTCCGGAGCAGCCATGGCATTCAGAAGTGTACTGCCAAGATGAGCTCGGTACGTAAGAGCACCAGTCCACGCATTGTGCTGTAGGACTCGGGGGAGCCACCGGCGTAGGTGTCGCAGGCCCTGTGCCTGCTCCACCACAGCTTCGGCAGTCCGGAGTGTACTGCCAGGAACCCTGCGGTACCCACTGGCACCAGCTCGAACAGCCCTGCCCTGCTCTGGAGAACTGCGGGACCTGATTCCCACCGCAATCCCTCACATATCGCTGGCTTCCCAGCGGGACGTAGCGGCACCAGATGGGCGCTTGCAGCTGCGCCTTGACCTTCAGCCGCGAGCTCGGCATCTCTGGCTCTCGCTCGGCAGCTGCCTCGGCACCGGCCGCAGCTGCGATTGCAGCGCCTGAATTGCAAACGCCGCAGTCAGGTACCTCCTTCCATGCCGGCTTTGGCACCCATGGGCACCAGGTGGCACAGCCCTTTGTGGTCTGCACTTGAGTCACGTTTGTGCCGTTGCAGC